GGTGCAAATTACTGACCTCTGTCATCATTTTAGGTGGGGGAACTTGCACAATCGGTGGCTGACTAAATACTTTTTTGCCCCACTGTATATAACTCTGTACCATAACCACATTACCTCATGATCATGACCTCAGTTATTGTCATTCTGATGGTAAGCATAATTACTCAAAAGGACTTCTTACAAGCATGTTTTGTATTGTCAAAATAAATAATTTACCATATAAAGATTTAAAATATGTTAGATTTAAACTCTTACCTCTCCTCCAAAGTCAGACTGATTTGAAGGTCAGCGTGATGATAATAATGCTGTATAGAGTTATTTAAAACAGTTTTTCTTAATGCCATTGTTTGTATTGCCAACATAAATAGGCATATAACTAATGATATATGGGAATTCTAAATATCAAGTTATAGCTTGCATACAAATATCATGTCATATTTTACCTCAGACCTCACTTTTACATTTTCAATCTGTCTTCATATCATGCTGAAATTAAAAAGTGTTTCACTTTAAAAGTTTGTTTTTTATGACTTTTATAAAGGGGAATTAGTATGCGTGTTGACCTATATACCCCATTTGTGTTGGCCTACATGCGCAGGTTTTATCTATATTTACATCATATGTTATACTACTTATGCTTGAACACCTGTTGATGCACAGCTGTTATTTTTCAACCTAATAATGGGTCACTTTTGGGTAACTGTGACAGTTTTGTGTTCCATTTTGACAGCAGCTTGCTGTATAATGACAATGAAAGGCCTCTAATTCAAAAGCTTTATACAGTTTTATTTCATTTAAACAGCAATTGGTACAGTAATAAGCAACAAATCTATGTAATATTGAAATCTCAATAAGTTTCAGTGCAGGTGTAGACTACCTGATAGCTGTCTCAATGCCGACAAAGTATCAGTGTTAAAAAGATGGAGACCACAGACTTACAGATTCTGAACTCAAAATAAATATGTGACGCCCAGCAGTGGGTGTCTCTGACATTACACTGATGACTCAGTGTTAGTAAAACCCTTGTTTGAAACACACACACGCACAGAGAAATACAGGGAGTGCAGAATTATTAGGCAAATGAGTATTTTGTCCACATCATCGTCTTCATGCATGTTGTCTTACTCCAAGCTGTATAGGCTCGAAAGCCTACTACCAATTAAGCATATTAGGTGATGTGCATCTCTGTAATGAGAAGGGGTGTGGTCTAATGACATCAACACCCTATATCAGCTGTGCATAATTATTAGGCAACTTCCTTTCCTTTGGCAAAATGGGTCAAAAGAAGGACTTGACAGGCTCAGAAAAGTCAAAAATAGTGAGATATCTTGCAGAGGGATGCAGCAGTCTCAAAATTGCAAAGCTTCTGAAGCATGATCATCGAACAATCAAGCGTTTCATTCAAAATAGTCAACAGGGTCGCAAGAAGCGTGTGGAAAAACCAAGGCGCAAAATAACTGCCCATGAACTGAGAAAAGTCAAGCGTGCAGCTGCCAAGATGCCACTTGCCACCAGTTTGGCCATATTTCAGAGCTGCAACATCACTGGAGTGCCCAAAAGCACAACGTGTGCAATACTCAGAGACATGGCCAAGGTAAGAAAGGCTGAAAGACGACCACCACTGAACAAGACACACAAGCTGAAACGTCAAGACTGGGCCAAGAAATATCTCAAGACTGGTTTTTCTAAGGTTTTATGGACTGATGAAATGAGAGAGAGTCTTGATGGGCCAGATGGATGGGCCCGTGGCTGGATTGGTAAAGGGCAGAGAGCTCCAGTCCGACTCAGACGCCAGCAAGGTGGAGGTGGAGTACTGGTTTGGGCTGGTATCATCAAAGATGAGCTTGTGGGGCCTTTTCGGGTTGAGGATGGAGTCAAGCTCAACTCCCAGTCCTACTGCCAGTTTCTGGAAGACACTTTCTTCAAGCAGTGGTACAGGAAGAAGTCTGCATCCTTCAAGAAAAACATGATTTTCATGCAGGACAATGCTCCATCACACGCGTCCAAGTACTCCACAGCGTGGCTGGCAAGAAAGGGTATAAAAGAAGAAAAACTAATGACATGGCCACCTTGTTCACCTGATCTGAACCCCATTGAGAACCTGTGGTCCATCATCAAATGTGAGATTTACAAGGAGGGAAAACAGTACACCTCTCTGAACAGTGTCTGGGAGGCTGTGGTTGCTGCTGCACGCAATGTTGATGGTGAACAGATCAAAACACTGACAGAATCCATGGATGGCAGGCTTTTGAGTGTCCTTGCAAAGAAAGGTGGCTATATTGGTCGCTGATTTGTTTTTGTTTTGTTTTTGAATGTCAGAAATGTATATTTGTGAATGTGGAGATGTTATATTGGTTTCACTGGTAAAAATAAATAATTGAAATGGGTATATATTTGTTTTTTGTTAAGTTGCCTAATAATTCTGCACAGTAATAGTCACCTGCACACACAGTTATCCCCCTAAAATAGCTAAAACTAAAAACAAACTAAAAACTACTTCCACAAACATTCAGCTTTGATATTAACAGGTTTTTTGGGTTCAATGAGAACATGGTTGTTGTTCAATAATAACATTATTCCTCAAAAATACAACTTGCCTAATAATTCTGCACTCCCTGTAAGTTAAACAGGACTGTAATGTTTGGGGGAGTTGAAGTTATTCTGTGTTAATTTTGACATGGTATTGTATCAGAAGAACATTCTTAAGGGAATGTTTAGCTGCTTCAAACTGCTGAGATAATCAGATGATCAGAAGTGTGAACAACAACTGCCATCATGCCTTATCACTGCTCAAAACTATTTCCAAGGTGCTCCAGGGGACATTTAACCGCATTCTTTATGCTTTGCAGCCTCCCCAACATGGATAATGTGACAGACCCCCTCTGTAAAGTTTATTTTTTAGCACATGATGGCTCTTTTTGGCTATTCATCTGTAAACTCTCTCCATACTCTTTCACGTGATTCTTGCGTAGGTGGTAGAAGTTTGTCATGTTTGAGTCTGTGGTTAGGACCCATTTGCGGCATAATTTGCATAGTACAGTTTTCTGGTCTGTGTCAGACTTTTTATCCCCAAACCAATTCCATGCTACAGGGTTAGCCCCTTGTTTAGAAATAAGGTCCTCAATTTGTTTTGACCGGTCCTTCTGTTTGGAGCTACCTGGTTCTGCCTCATCTTCACTGGCCATGCTGGTATTTTCTGTGCCTGCATCCACGTGTTGACTGTAAGCGCCATTTATAGTTACTTCACGTTTTTATTTGAGGTAATTTTTTTGATGCATATTCTGAAATTTAATATTTGCGAATAATGTATTTTCCCATCATTTCAGCTTATTTTGAAAAATTTCAACAGGATCTTGAGCTTTATTGTGAAAGGTTTATGTGGTAAATAAACAAGCGGACGGCGGAGATACACGATGGTTTTACCGTCATTGTTACTAATGAACCGATACATAAAAACAGTCGCTTGTCCGTCCATAGTGTGATTATTTTAAATATAAGCGAGAGAGAGAGAGAGAACTTCAAGACATTATTATAGCCACTACGGTGACCATAAAAATGATGAAAAAAATATTGCCATAAACAGCTTATTTTGCGACACCACAAAACAAACGATAGCATATAATATGACACGATAGGATAGATGTTTTCATCCGATATGTATATCATCATATTGAACAGCCCTAACTGTGGTGTTCTTTTTTTTATCGTCTTGCCCCGAACCTTTTAGAAAGCAGAAACTCACTTTGTCCTTCAATTTAAACAATTGGATATTGCCAATTTTATTTTTTGCTGCTGGCTGCTGTGAAAGATATCTGGTGCTTGATCAGTGGTGACAGACAGACAAAATAAGTGTAGGTATGCAGACCTCTTTAAAAAATTATCAAAGTTAGTTAAAAAAAAAAATACCATAACTGATAATCACTTACTGGTAATAGCTCAGGTCTCTGTTGGTTCGGGGCACATCTTTATCAATGATTCGAATGGCTTCCTGCAGCTCCTCACGGTCAAATGTGACCCGCTCAAACAATATCTGTTTATAGGAAAAGTTAGTACAAAGAGGTAGTAGGTAAATGGCAAACCCTTTAACAAATTTAGATCCTGTTGTTTCATTTGAATAAATATACTGCATTTATTTTATTTCCCTCACTTTAAACTGTTCTTATGTTCTACAAAGAAAAACCAAAGGGAACATTTTAAATATAACTTAACAAAAAACAATGCAGAAAAATAGTGAGTAGAAACAAGTATGCGTAAAAGAAGCAAAAAGCCAGACATCAGACAGGTGACAATAATACTCACAGATGTTTAGTTGAACTGACCTGTGCCTGAAGCTCCAAAAAAGCCATTCTAACTCTGACCGCCTCTGACCTGTCCTGAGATTGTTGCTGGGTCTGTGCCTGTCTCTGGTCAAAGTACCTGACGGCTGCCAGCAACTCAGCTTGATCACATATAAGATATTTAGGGAAAAGAGTGAGAAATCACGGCAGTTAAAAACAAACAACAATAGAAAAAAAATTTGAAAAAGAAGGAATCTACGTGGCTTTTAACTGACAGCCGTACAACTTACCATCAGTACCATTGAGGTGCATTCGCATGGCTGAGGGGAGGAAGTGCTGCCATTTTCTCTTCATCACCTGATAACGTACGACCAACTGGTCCTGCAGCAACGAGCGCTCTAAAGCTGTTGAACCACACGGGTACATCCCGAACAAAAACCGCCACGCGAGACCACGCTCAGATGGACACACCCCACCTGGACAGAGAGTGCAGACCTTTCAATCATTGTCAGTGGACAATTGTGCTTGAAGATAAAACATTACGTGACCTTCTAACATTTAGTTCAACCAGTCACCACTGGTCTGAAAGAGAGCATGGGAAGATCAAACCTGAAAGGAACAAATTTTAGATGTAAATCAAAGCAACAAGACTGCAGATACATATTTTAGTGAGCTTGAGCCTGCTGAGACAAATATTTAAGAGGCCATTTGTAACGTCTTAGTCTCTGGTGGAGTTCAACATCCTCCACAAAGAGGACAGATTCAGCAGGATTGCTGAAGTGCTGATAAGTTCTGGCATGAGATGACAGTCTTCTTGCATTTAAAACACTAAAAATACAGCTAGAACACAGACGTATTCTGTCCGTCTTTGCTTCTTCTAGTTCACAGCATATGTTTATGGAGCCATTGACACTCATGTGATCTCACTCCTAGAAATCCTACCAACCCTATAAATGGAGCCGCTTTATCACAGTAGTCACGCTGGACTTCTTTGCTCCAGGCGGTCTGGTGAACAGTGAAATGTTGGACTTTACAGAAGCGTCTGATTGTGCTTTTCCCCAGAGGCAAAGCGTCACCTGATTTAATCTTAAGAATGAAAACCCATTTTTAAAAAAAAAAAATCATTTGAAATATTTTTACCGTACACCAAAACGGTGCTAAAATGGACACATGTATATTTTGTCAAAACACTATAGCCCATTTTTATTTTTCCAAAGAGTCAAATTTAATTTCTCGAAAAACACACATTGAGCGAATGCAGTCACGCCTTTTATCAGCAGGTGCGGTGCATTCAGGTTTGTTCACAACAACCTGAGGCCTCAGCAGCAGTCGGTGTGAGAAACTATAGCTTTAAATCCAGCTGCTTCATGGACTGCGCTGATTGCCAGCCCCTGTCCTGTTATAGTGTATCAATACAGAAAAACGCAATTATCTCTCAAACTTATAATTAACTAGATGAGAAAAGAGTTTGCTTTTCTAAACGTGGATAATTAGATATTTTAAGATTTCTGCTTGGCCTTCCGTACTCACTAAAGTATTAAAACGGAAGTGCGGACAAGCAGTCTTACTTCATGTCCCCTGCAAAACTGCACGAATCAAGTTTACATTAAAAACTACTTGCAAGTAAATTGTGCGTTTTAGAAACCGTTTTTGAAGATATGCATCCTCAGTCTTGACTCGTCGACCCTCCCCTCGGCGTCCATGACTCTGGGTAAAGTGAGGCGCGCTACAGCCAGAGCAGGAGAGCTGATCGCTGCTACTCTCCTCTGAGAGCCTCCATCCAGCTGGGGGCTGCTGGCTGTCAACCGTTCCCCTGCGGTCTGCCTTGGATTTCCTGTGTTTAGATCTTCCATGTGTGGCTGCGGTTTTAAATCACGCAGGGGTGAAGTTTGTCATTCGCGCTGCATCCACATAACAGGCAACATAATCATCCTCCTATGGCCCACCGCTTCCTAAACAACACAGCTCGTCTCCCTCCGTGAGCTACAACTGAAAGCATTCAAGACTCATTTCCAGCAGCGTGGTCGAGTCGTTTTAACTTTGCTAAACCCGTCGGAATGACTTTCAGGAAACCATATCCAGCGAGCACAACTCTCATTCAGCCATCTGGGAGTCATATGACTGCACCTTTAAGATCCCAGTTTGCCCCACATTCCAGGTGGAGTCCAAACCCATGTGCTAAAGTTCACAGTGGACTTGTGCGTATATCTTGCTCCATCTAGTGGTTGTATTTAGCAAATGTCCCCCAGAAGAGGGATTTCGCTAACTGGCTGATCTGAGTATTTCCCAAACCGTTGACCACTGGGGCTTTCACGCATAACCATCTCTAAGGTTTGCAGAGAATGGCCTGGGTAAAAAAAAAAGAAGAAAATATCCAGTGAGTAGCAGTTCATATCAGCTATTTCTTTGAAGTGATAGGAAGGAACTCCAATAATCACTTTACAGCCAAGGGATACAGACGAGCATCTCTGGACACCCAAGCACATGAACTGCAGCAGCAGAAGACCACATTTTTCATTACAATAGAAAACTCTAAAAATGTCTGGTCAGAATTTGGAGAAAACAACATAAAAGCATGAATCCATCGTGTCTTCTATAAGTAGTTCAGGCTGCTGCTAGTAGCAAAATGGCGGGGGAAATATTTTATAACATTAAAAATTTTTTTTATGATTATTTAGATTTGAAAGCTAACTTGAATATTGATGCAGACCATTTTATCCCCCTGTGACCACAGTGTATCCATCTTGACTGCTACCAGCAGGTTAGCATACCATGTCAAAGAGCTCTAATCATATCATAACTGGTTTCTTAAACATAACGAGTTAATTCATATGAAGTCATTGTTATGTTTAATGACCCCTGCAGTCACCAGATCTCAATCTAATAGAGCACTTTTGGGAGGTGGTTGGCTGGGAGATTCTCATCATGGATGTCTAGCTGACAAATCTGCAGCAACTGCGTGATGCTGTCATGTCAACATGGACCAAAATCTCTGAGGAATGTTTCCAGCATCTTGCTGAATCTATACCATAAAGAATTAAAGCAGCTCTGGAGGCAAAAGGAGGTCCAACTCAGTATCAGCAAAGTGAACCTAATAAAGTGGCCAGTGAATGTTGCTACCACATATATTTTGTGCATAATCAAGCCACTCCACACACCAAATAGTACCCAGCTTATGGTAAGAAAGCTGCCACTCTCTCCAAAAATTGATTCTTTTCCTCTGGACGTAGCGTCTTCAGTGGGAGAAATGTTTCGTCACCCATGCAAGTGACTTCTTCAGTTTTAGCTGACTGCAGGTTTCCCCAATCTTATAAACAGTATATTTGCATAATGACTGAAACCAGCCCACTGAAGGAACAATGGGCTGGGGGATCAGTTCCTTCAACATAATTATGGAAATTCTAATGACCATTGATAAACAACCACTGATCAAAGACCACTGATTAATGGCCATGAGTACCTCGCTCAAACCAGCGTTCCACCCTGTCCAGGATGTTACATCCTCATCACTGAAACAGTGTCCACTGGCCTGTAGGTGTAAATAGACTGTAGAGTCCTGGCCTGACGAGGCCTCTGCAGTCTACTACCACTCATTCACAAGGGGTCACCAGAGTAGGTGGGTCCATATATTTGATTTGACCTCTACGCTGTGCAATTTTTGACATCAATACAAATATTTGTCTAGCTATAATTACTTCTTGTTACCAAAAATATCACATTACAAATTCACGGAATCTCTTCTGTGTGATAAGGAAAAACACAAACCAGGTCTAATCCAACTTGCAACTCAGTCTTTTTTTTTTTCCAATAACATAATATCATCTATCCTTTGTTCACATGCCATATAGTCAGGTGTAAAGCTCAATCCTCCTCAATTAATAGAAATTATAGTCTGGTTTAATATTTTTGACAGAGTGGAAGGTCAACTGTAAATGCACTAGACTACACTGTTGGGTTAGAAGTGACAGTTTTGCAAACACCTCTCTGCTGTTGTGACACTGACCTGCTATGTTTTTCACAAATGTTAATCAGAGAGAGAAAAAGGGAGGAGTTCAGCAAAGTGCGACTTTTACACTTTGGTTAATATGTAAAAATTAAATGATATAAGAGAAGGAAGAGAGTGTTTCTGATATACAGTATATGTGCTTAAAATTTGAAAGTTGAACATAGTTATTGTGGGGACGGCGTTCACTTTTCTTTCCCAACTTCCTTTTTCTTTTTTCAAGTGATCATTAGAGTGCAACGGGAAACAGACCCATGTCATTTCACATCAGTGCAGAGATCTAATACACACTGAGAAAGCACAAAGGAACATCATTTTCTTACACCTCCCTCCTCTCATAGTGAGTATTTACTATGTGCTAAATAGTAGACTATAGGCAATTTGCTGTACAGTATGTTGGCTACATGTGATGGGAATTCTGTAAAACTAAATCGGGATTTTGTCTACTAACCTGTGACTGTCTTGCTTTGGCTAGATGCAGCTGCCAGGCCTTATTGGTTTCATTTCAGTATTGATTCTGGCTTGTAATTCAAAAGGTGAGTGAGATAATAAGCTCATGTGTATGATTTAAATTGGAAATGCACTTTCAGTATGTAGTAAATATGGTACTTGGAGCACTTTATATGCTTCTCATTCACCCATTTACACAGATTCATACACTAATGATGGTGAAGCTGTCATATAATGTGCTTTTCTAATGCTGGCCTTGCTTTTGTAATAAACAATTTGTTCTACAATGTAAATTATAGCTTTAAAATTAGCCTTTGAAAAATAAATGCAATTCCTTACTTGCTTTGTTTTTATTTGCAGATACAAAATGGAAAATAAATGTCGAAAGAAAGATCACAGCACAACCTGGATCAACCGTTACCATACAATGCAACTTTAGCTATCCAAAGGAAATCTCCACTAATAATGTTACAGTTTTTTGGAAAACGTCATCAGTAGATGATCAAAGTAACTGCAGTAACGGGGACAAAGACAGGAAGGCATTTGTTTTTAACCCAAATAATCACTGTGTGCTTGAGAAGTACCGAGGAAAGACTAAGCTCATCGGAGACCCGAACAAGGGCAACTGTTCTCTCCAGATCACCGACATCACAGATATTAAGCAAGCGATCTATGTAAGAATTGATGTTCAGAAAGATAAATACAGTTTCATCAAGGACCCTGTCCATGTCTCATTTTCCATAAATGGTCAGAATTTAAATCAATTATTTTAAAATTTTAATTTAAACTATGCATTTATCAAAAAAAATGAAATTAATAGCTTGCATGTTTCCTCCACAGAGACGGGGGCTTCTAAGCCAGGTATTAACTTCATTTCTGCATTATTTATATTTAAATTGAACAGAGCCTTTTAAAAAAATTTGCCATCATGCTGTGTAATATTTTTTCAACAGGTACCGATTCCTATACGACTCAAGACCTTTTAACCACTGAAACAACAATAAGTAAGTTTAATATTCACACAGTTTGTTGAGTATGTCACCCTCTGTACTTCAGCTTTCTTTACTGAACGTATTATTTTTTGCAGCAAAAGCAAATGAAAACGACACGAGCCATGCAACAATACTGTCTGTAGCCATCCCTGCAGCAGTTCTTGTGGTGATCATTCTTCTTGTTGCTGGGATATTTATTTTTATAAAATACAAGAGGTAACTTTTCCATCATTTGTAAACCGAATGTGTGGCCTACAAGCAGCAAACTTGAATGAGCTTTATTTCCCAGATTGATATACTTGATGTACATAGTTTATCATCTGGATACTTTTCAGGCAAATGTGTGGTATGTAAAGCAAAGCATTTATGTAATCAAAAGACATTTAAATGTGGAAATTTAACTTTCTGTGAAGCATATGTACAGTACGAGAGAGAAATAATCCAAAGCAGATTATATTCATTTATCATAAACATACCAGAGTGCTTCGAATGTTAACTTTGTTTAAATTTTAGTTATCATGTACAAACAACCGCAATAACAGTAATCATAATTGTCCCAGGTCACGCAGTCTCACCAGGGAGGACTCTGGATACTATGCAAACTTTAGCAGAGCACTATCAAACCCACCCAAAAGGTTTGCATTAATGGAAAAAGTATACCATAAATGTGTACCCATCTAAGAAGCTTGACATTTCTTTTATTTTTAATTGAATGTGTCATTATGATGAATCCAAAAGTAATTATTGTAATTTGGTGTTGTACCATTTGATACATTTGTGTTATCAGGATATAATTATGCATTTATTTGTTGCACAGTGACAAAATTCTGATGACCTTTTCCCCAACCTGGCATTTTTAATTTCTTGCTCTCTTTCTTTTTTTGTTCTTTTTAGAGAAGTCAGTTGTGACAGACAAACTAAGAAGCTGCCTGAAGGGAAAGCTATTGATGATCCTGTTTACATCAATGTCAAGGTACAATGCCCACACTGACACAAGTTTTACTGTCCCAAGAAGTTAACAGCAAAGATAAAAATGACTAAAGCCAACTTTTATGTAACCTCTTGTCTCTGCAGGCTCCAACAAATCACTTGGCTCCAAACAGCAGCTGTGCAGACAATATATATGCAAATGTGGATTACAGAACTTAGAAGGACAGCTGCATGTCATTAGTGTACGATGCTTTCTACACATGTTCATGTGTATGCACTACTATGTGTCTCTATACATTTCATGCAGGTCTTAATATTTGTTGTCTTTTTTGAGAGTGTTCACATATGCCCAAAAAACCCCTGACTAGTCGCTGTTGGTTCAACTGAAGGATGAAAGTGTGAAAACACTCTAAATGACCAAAAAAAAAAAAAAAGCCTGCACAGCATTGCAAAACAATGATAATTCCTTTTTTTGCGTACTTGTGATTGCAGACCTTCAGATGGTCAGACAAGAATGTTGTTTCAAAACATGAATTTATGTAAAAATGATATAGCATAAAATCATAAGTGAGATGTCAGTGTTAGAGATGGGGAACAGTAGACACACAGTAACAATAATCTTTCTCCAACCCTAACAACATTACCTTTGTCAGAAAAAGTCTTCTCCTAGCCTTACTTGTGGCATATTGTGTAATTGGAGAATGAAAACCTGTTAGGATTGAAAATTAGGAAGGATTTCATTTTTTTGTCAAATGCTTTGGGTTTTTTTCTTTTTAAGAA